ATGACCTTTTGCCTCTCCAATGCTGGTTTGTTTTCAAGCCCCAAGCTCTAGGGTTTAATTCCCACTCAGCAGTCTACCCTGGTCATAACAATGCCAACAGGCAAGTACCTTTATAGAGGTTTACCTATAAGTGCCTACAGTCAGTTCCTGTTGACATCAGCTCTTGGCATTTTCCCATCCACTGCATTTTTTATTTTTTATTTTTAAGCTGTGAACCGCCCTGAGATCTACAGATGAAAGGCGGTATACAAATTTAATAGATAATAATAACTGGTTGAGATGACTGGTGTCAACACTGTTGTAGAATAGATCACACACTGAGACACCTGATCTTTAGTCAAGATGGGTAACCTTGCTGTTTTCAATTGAGTTTAATTCAAGGCTTTCAGCTGCTATTGCACAGAAGAGGACCCAGAAACTGGAGAGAAATGCACACTTGCCATATAAACTGTTGCATGGGGTAGATGTGGGATATATTCGTGCATTTTACACCAAATTGTTTACAGACTTCAACACTCCTCCTTTATCTCAACATTTCCAAAAATAAGATGCCAATTCTAACAAGACTTGGTGGATATTCATGGAATAGATCTTTCTTAGTTCCTCACAGTCCTCTGAGGTCACTTTGTACATAGGAAACAAAGCCAATTTCTTAAACATGAGCATTTACAGTAAGAGTGGAATTAAGGAAAAGGCATACAGTATATGCCCAAACTGTGAGAGAGGAGCTCAGTCTTTCACTGCTAAAGCCAAATGCCAATACAAGGAACAAGCAGAGCCTGCTGTTAAGATGGACCTGGGATGACACACTGCCATCCCTTTAATACCCAGCAGGTCCCTTGTCTCCTCTCCTCCTCATCTAAACTAAACAACAGTGTGAAGTCAGAGTGCATCTGTGGATACAACACAGTTCCATGGACAGAATCTACCAACCACATCATATAACCCCCAAATGGGATATCAGTAGGGCAAACAGCTCATTCACCAATATCAAATTGTTTGATCTATTCCCACAGTGTTTCCGTTTATCTGCCTCAGTAAAATTCAACACCATTCATAAATAAGGGTCAAGTGGTTCAATTCAATTTGGCAGTTCTTTAAACTCCTGTTTCTATACCTCTCCCTACTCTCTTGTGGACAACACACACCAAGAGAGAACTTTCTAAGGGCTAGACATACTGGTCACAGAAGCATATTCCTTCTTTTAAACATGTTTTCTCCTGCTATCTCTCATGTTGTTCGGTGCTGATGAGAGTTATATTCCCAAATATCTGGAGGTCACCATGTTGGCAAAGGCTGATCCACAACAGCATTGCAAACGGAAGAGGTTGGTAGGAGTAGTAGTTTAGGGAGGATGATTGGGCTGGAAGGAGAGACAGCTATGGTTACACTAACGCCTAGAATGATACCCCATCTGTTTTAAGGAACCAGATGTTCTGTTGTTTTCCACTATACACAAGGTCAGGGTGCTTCACCCTGCACACACACTCTGGCTCACACACTCTGCATGACAGCATCATGTTTTGAGCACAAATACACTCAACCATCTTTTCCAGGGTGATTGAAGTGTACCACAGTGCAAAAAGTGTGAGAAGCTACCACAGATATTTGTTCATAGAACAGTGGTGAGTATGAGGACTGGGACCTTCAAACAAGAGTCAATGGTCACTTCCTTCAAATTATGTGTTTCTGGATTTGTCTAATTTAAGTTAGTGAAAAGCACCACTGGTAGAAAGAGCTTCTATACTATACTATCATTATGAAAAGAAGCTTTCTCCAGAGGCTATGCACAAATCAGATCAATCAAATGTGGCAAAGGTCATGGCATAAACAAAACTCAGTCGTGGAGCAACTGCCATATTGCAGAATGGCTAGGCCTGTGGATAATTCGCAGTTAGATTCAGCTGGTTTTTCACTATCAATGCTGCATGTTGCTTGTCACGGATGCAAGGAAAGCTAAGGAATTTCTGGTCTAGGAATCCAAATCTTGACAGCAAACCATTTCTGATCCAAATGGCCCACAACAGAGGATAAGGGGGATGCAGTACAGTTCAAAGCTCAGCTTCACAGAAGTATCCTCAGAGCGCCATGGGGTTCCAATGAAAGGAGCCTGCGTCACAGCAAACAAGTAATCACAGCAACATTTTACACACTGGAACTATCCACAACAGGAGATCTACAGCTGTGAACTTTTTCCACTTCTACTTGTATGCCAGCTCTTCCCAGCCAGCTTTTTTGCCACACACCAAGCAGCCAACCGAAAGACAATATTGCAAAGCCCCACTTGGCAAATGCCAGCCAGCTGAGAGGATAAACTGTGATTCAAGGAAATGCAAGTGATAAATCAGAATATCGTTTTTTTACACTGTTTGTTGCAGTACCTAATTCTAACATGCATAATTTAAAGTAAAATAGTATCACTGAGCATTTTTTAATCTCAAAATGAAGATATATCCAAATATAAATTTGTAGCAAAACAAAACGTCCAACCAAAGAGCTCCACAAAGTTTAGTGCTCTTTTCAGTGCAACATCCCCAAGACCTAGATCCCGTGTGCCTTCTGCTTTATGTAGCTTACAAGCCATCACTCCAACTATGGGACAGTCAACAGATTTTTTCTTTCTTTTAAAGCTGAGCAAATGTCAGCATCAAAAGCAATAAATAAGTACAAGCCCAACCGTGCAGGTTCTCAGGGGATGTTCTTGATTTGGGCTGAGATGGGCTGGTTACAAAAAGGGGATTTCCCTTCTTTAAATGTTTAACAGCTGCAGGTCTTGATGGATCTCCTTTTTGCTACAAGCCTCTGGAAGGCAGAAGCAAGGAGAGAAGGGGAGGGGGCAGAAGGCTAAGGTTAAGGCATTTTTCCCTTTCCAGTCCCCCTTCAGTGTGTGAAACAGGTGGGTAAACTTTACTGGCATTCATGTGAGTGTGGGTTTTATTTAAAAGGGAGTGGGAGGGTGGAAGAGTGAAGTTGCTTCTATTGTTGAACAAAATCCAAGAGTAGTTTAGGACCACACATGGAGCTGGGGTTGTGCAGGGGGAGGAGGTGTGGAACGCCAAAGATCGCTGACAGTCATCACAGAGAAACATCTGCTCTTGGAAAGCTCCCAGGCTGCTTGCAATTTTTTTTGTTTAAAAAAAGAATAAAAATAAAATAAAAATCCTAGGGTGTGAAAACTCAGCGCAACCTGGTGTTGGAAAAGAGAGGAGACTGCAATAAGCAGGGGATGGAAAGCAAGCAGCAAACCCCATGCACTGCCACATGGATTGACGGCAGTGCCGAGAATGGAGGGGGCAACATAGCATGCTGAACTTATTAATAACAAAGGCATCATTTTTATCAAATGTTTCCAGTAGGAAATTAGGATTTGCTCCTGGGTGACCCCTTTTGCTTTCGGCTATTTGCATTCAACCCAATTCCATTCTCAGCTGGCAGGCAAGTGTAACCCAAGTTAAACTTCAACTGACAGCTCTGCTGTAGACAGTAATTATCCTCTCCTTCAGCACCACCCTCAGAAAGGTAATTTAGGATTTTAATGTCAATAATGCAATGCAGCAAGCAGGGCCCGGTGGCAAGAAAAACCATATTATCTGAGATGGGGGAAATAATTTAATTGCACTTGTCTATGTGGGGGCATGTATTTGCACCGATAGGGATCTGGACTGCACACACGGCATGGCGAACACAGGCACACACATGCAGAGCAGCATAGGAAGGCTTATGCACACTCGCACACACTCTTGCGGAACAAGTTCAAGGTGGAAATCTCTCTCTATAACACCACAACAGCGCCAAACCCTGTTGTATAAATCATTGTTTCTCATAGATTGAGACCAATATCACCAAACAAGATTGAATCCAAAAAAAGGGAAGAAAATTCCATGCCTGGACAGGAAATCAGTCAGGATCACCACAACACCTTTCTTTCTGGAAGGTGGTCTGAAGGTATAGGATGAGTGAGATTCTATTGCTGAAGCAAAGCAGGTTAAGCACTGTATAGTGCTTGGATGGGAGACTGCCTGGAAACCACATGTAAGGAAACCACTCTGAGCAAGTCAAGAGGAAGAATGGGCTGCAAGGCAGGGTGTCATAAATGTGATACATCCCATTACTGAGACCTCCAAGAACAGAACTGCCAGGTGCCTCTAAATCCAAACCATAATCGTTGGCACAATCTTCAATTATCCAAAAGCACTTAAGGCAACCCTACATTCTCCAGTTTTATACCATGTCACCCCACAAGTCTACATGTAAATTTAGGGCATGGAAAGTGTCTGTCCCATCATTCAGTATTCACAAACAGTGCTCATTACCATCATGGAGAATTGTATTTAACAAACATTCAAAAGAATTCTGATTTGGGGGCTCTAAAAATCAGAGAACTGGCTTAAAAACCACTGGCACAACCCACTGAAAACATTTCTGGAGGAAGCCCCTTCAACTTGAATGGAGTTGCACAAGGGCACTCACACATTATCATCCAGCTCTTATTCATATCAATGGGGCTTGCACAGAAGACGTTCCCAGCATGATTGTTCCCTGTGCAATTATCTTTTTAAATAAAAGAGCTTCTTGTTTTCATCACTTTGCCAGCTGGTCTTGGAGGCTTTCTAGCCTGTTTGACAGTCACATAATTCAAGCTTTTCTCAAGGCTTACAAACTCTTCTTCAATTATCGAAAAAAGTTGAAATGGGGAAACAGGGTTTTATTGCAAGACTTGAGGTTTTAAGAGTTCCTCAAACTGGAATACATTTTTATATCCAAGAAAGTACTCTCTATCCCCCTGTTACTTGGTAGCTTCCCCCAAGATGCCAATTCCAAGAAACTGTGTGCAAATCTGGAGCTTAGAGAGGGGCCCCTTTGCTAACAACTCCCTTTAAAAGGCTCTTCTAGGCCTTTTGCTTCCACTATGTTTGACAACTGCTCCACCATCACCCAACAATATCCTAAAGCGTTATGCAGCCCTCCCAGTATTCACACACTCACAAAATGGAACTTACCTTCCACCCAGAGTTGCTCAATATCCGTTTCTATGGAGGCTACTCGCAGCCCTACAGCCAGCGTCCCAAAGACCAGCAGCCCCACAAAAAGTACTTTGCCACAGTGACGATGGATCCAACAGCCCAGTGTAAACAGCAGGGCCTGGAACTGGGCCCGCAGCCACAGCGGGGCTTTCTGGCCCACAGCCTTACCCTGGGGAGAGAAATGGAGAGTTAGCCAAGACACTGTTGCTACAGGGAACAGCAACATCCTGCCCCAGGGTAGCTGGCACTGGGGCTAAAGCAGAACTCAAGCCTTTGGGAGCAAGCATTTCAGCAAGAACATTGCCATAGATTATTTGTGGGGGCATATATGTGCGCGCCTGCCTGTCCCTGCAGCGCTTCCATCTGCTCGGAACTTGTGGAGGCCAGTGCCCATATCCTCCCAGTCTGCAGAGAGATGAACTCCTGAGTGACAGCTGTAGATGTGGGTGAATCCCCTACTCAGGTGGAGAAACAGGCCGCTGGGAAGCTCCTGCCACAATCCATGTGTTACGTCTGTGAGGTTGCCCAGCAGGAATCTCCCTCCTCTGTTCCTCAGCGGTGGTCTGCTTCCCTTCCCCAGTTCCAGATACACTCCTCACCTCCAGAGCAACCCAGCAGCTGAAGTGCCCTGTTAGAAAGGAGCCCTGCAAAAGGCAACCCGGGATGTTAAGGAGTCCTTCTACAGTCTAGTTTCCAGCTCTGGGGAGAGCAGATGTCCGCCCCACCCTTTCCTCAGGTGCGTCCTTCTGACCTGTCAAGTTTCCCTTGCGGGAGACCCCCCCCATTGTCTCCCTTCCTCTCCTTCCACCGATTCAGCGACTCAAGTCCACCCGCCTCCCTTTCTCGCTCCGGAGCAAAACGCTCCACGCAGACCCACCTCCGAGCCGCCGTCTCCCCTCGCAGATCCGATCCGGGGCTGGCCTCTCCCGCGCGTCCCTCCTGGACGGCTCCCCGGCGTCTCCCCTTTCCATAAACAAACTCCAGGGGCCACGGCGCGGGCTCGCTCTGGAGCGCGCCGGCCAAAGCCTGCCCCCTTCCTTCATTCTCTGGCCCCAAAGAAGCCGAAAGCTTCGAAGAGGACCCCCTTTCCCAGCCCCCCCCGGGCCCAGAAGAGCCGATCCCTCGCCTTTTTTGTCCCCTTCCCTGCAGCTGCTTGCGCGCCTCTCTCCCGGGTGGACGGGGTCGCCCCAACTTTACTTCTCGTCCCCCCCCACCCGTGGGAAAGCGCCTTCGCCCCATTCCCTTACCTTGGAGATCTGTTTGAGGGCAAAGGCAGCGTGGCAGTAGCTGGGTCTCCGGAGAAGATCCGAATTGGCAGTGGCCGCCGCCGCCGTGGCCGCCGCCGCGTAAGACGGCGGGAGTTCTCCCCGGAAGCCCCCGGCCCCCGGGACCGGCCGATCCGAAGCCATGCTCCAGGGTCGAGCGAGGACGGTGCTGGCGGGAGGCGCAGGGGCGCAGGCGGCTTCCCGGGAGCGGTAATCCAGAGGGGAGAAGCGCGGGGTCGGAGGCTTCAGAGGAGTGGCTGCTGCGGGGATCCCATGTGGACATTATGGGGGCGAATCCGAGGCCATCCAAGCGCGCCCCATGCGCCCTCGGCGCTTCCCAGCGTGGCCCCTTCGACTCGCGGCAGCAGACGGCGGTCGAAAGCTCACACAGCCCCCGAAAGGAGAGGCGCCCGGGTGCCCGGCGGTGCAGTGCGCTTCGGATCGCGTCCCACCAACATTTGGAACAAACAGTCTCCTTCGAGATCCTGAAAAGAGGAGCGGGGGGAGGAAGGTTTGGTTTGATGGGAAAGTGCCCCGGTTCCCATTGGCCGAGGAAGAGGCAAATTACTCCGCAAACATCTCCTATTATTAGCTGCTAAGCAACAGCTCACCAAAGTGGAGAGAGAAGAGACCACCCAGGCAGCGCCCTCCCCCGCCTCCCTCCTCCCCGCCTCAAATCAATGAGGGCAGAGGGAGGGAGAGACTTGCCTTCAACACAGGAATTCTGCTCCACAGATTTTCAAATGCTGCCCGTTGCCCCCTCCCAGCTGCCCCCCTCCCAAATCCAAACCAGCTCCTTTATTTATTATTGCAAGCGGACGCAGCGATGTAGTAGGACAGCTGCAAACTTTGCGGGGGGGGGGCACACAGGGTGGACTCTCCAGGATTTGGGGAGAAAAGGGTAAAAACTTTGGGGTTTGCTGTTTTGGTTTTTTAAAAGGCAGGTGGAGAGGACTGATTTATTGAAAAAGCTTAAATAGGTATAAACAGTGGGAGAAGCCAAAGTGGCACTATCACCGTCATCAAGGGGGGGGGGACACACAACACAACACAACTTTTCTTATCCTGTGATGGCTTTGTAATGACTTTGAGCTGTGTGTGTGTGATCTAACACGCACACACACCCTTTCCCTCGCCAGGACTTGTAAAGCACACAGGGGCAAAAGGCCTTTGAACATGTACAGAGTGCTGTAGTCCCCGTCCCTTGCACTGAGAAACCCTGATTATTCTGCACACCCCATGGACAGAGGGAATGCCTTCCATGTGAGCAGGCATGAGTATGAAACTTCCAAACAAAACAGAGCCCCAACACCTGTCGCTTAGAAATTAAGCCATATCACATGGCATAGATTCTTGAACTCAATACATTTGTATCTTGAACAGATACAAATCCAAGAAAACAAATTTATCAAATCTTTAAACAACACAAACCAAGGAACTCTTGTTTCAGAAGCATGCAGGGTTCCTAACGGGGCAAAATAATAATAATAATAGTCAACATCAGAAACAAAACTGTATTTCCATAAAAATGGAATAACTAATTATTTTGGCCATATGGATGGGCCAAAATATGAGCCAGGGTCCTCCAGACCTTCAAATTACAACCTATTTTCAATGGCTTAGACTGCAATAATATAATCCCATATCTAGGAGTAAATACTTAAGACATATAGAACTGCACTGCCAGTCTTGGAAACGGGGGAGGAATAATCTCTGAACATGTGCAAAGTACTCATCATTGAGTAATAATCACTAGCCTTCATACACCTTGGAGCAGTGACAACTTTATCCAGTTTTTTGGGGAGGGGGGAGGGGGGTTGAGGGAAGGATGGGTTTCTAGTCTGTGTGACATCCAGGCAGGCCTGAAACCCAAGAATTTCATTTTGGAAATTTACTGACAAACTTTCCTTTGACCAAACCCACAAGAAAGCCAGGAAACACAAAGCCAGCTGCAAAGTCAGTGCCTCACTTTCCACCACTGAGAAACTACAACCAGGCTGGTGGTCCACAAAGGAGCAGGATTGTACCACCCTCTACATCATACTCAGAACCTCATTAACACAAGGAAAGGGACGACAGAGGAGAGTGTTGGATGTTCTCGAGCTAAGAATGATCTGACAAATGGGAGCGTGAGGACAGAGTCCTGCGTGCTCGGCCAGGGTCACGAAGAGTTGGACACGATTAACACTAAAAATACTCTTCTCTGACCAGAAAAAAAAAAGTGGACAGGTTTCCAATTAGCAGGTGATGGAGCTCCCATTAGGTCTGTTTTCTCTCAGCCCCGTAAGATGCCCATTATACCTTCCTTTGCCACCAGGCAGCAGCAAAATTAACAGGAAACCAATGAACAACCTGGATTCTAGCTGCAGAACTTGGACTGGAAGAAAACAGACCCACTATGTGGGAGGGAATAATCTGGCTGAGAGTAATCATGTTGGACTAACTCTGGCTGAAGTGAAGGCCTGTACACATGACACATGTACACATGCAGTGAGGTCATTGCATTTCACTGCATTTCCCACCATTGTTTGCACATTGTTGTACTCATAACATGGTTTGATGCATATCTAAGTCGCCTGTTGTAATATCTCCACTGGTAGACAGAGACAGGGTGGGACTTTTCTTACCCAATGAGCAAGTCTCAATTTGGATTGAAGATTGGTTTGGAGGAAAATGCATCAAAACGTATGTATACACAATTTCCGAAACCAGTGGCAGGAGTGTACTGGATGCAAAGTAAGTGGGAGTGTGCATTAATATGGAGAACCAAACCAAAGCCAGTAGCGTTTAATTGCACTTCTCCATCCTCCTTTGATGGAGACACAATCATTGCTGTTCCCATATTAGGAAACAATAGATTGCTCCTTTGATGAATATTTGGGAATGTAAATTTTACAGAAGAACTTGGGCGGTAAGGAAGAAGAAACGTATTACATATTGGAGACCGTTGATTTGTTTTTTTGTGTTAGGGTTTATGCATGTGTAGTACAGCGTGAATGCATGTACATGCTATGTTTTGAAATAAATGTGAGTATTATGTAGTGGCTTTTTGGGGCGGTATGTATGGAACTGAACATTGACAATATTATAAAAGTGAAACATTTTATTTCTTCTGAAGTGATCAAGTGGGAACTAGAGAAGATTTCAAACTAGATAGACAGATGTTTTAAAAAATCCTATTGGGGGCTTCCTTGGATGGTCAGCCAGACCTGAAACAACACCCACTACCTTTAAAATCCAGTAATCTTCTTCACAGTGTTCTCTCTCTCCCTCACCTCCATCCCTACCCTGCCCTGTGCTCCTACCAACAACCAGGGTGAGGAAAATGCATTATTGACGTAACTCTGTCTTTACTATTATCTGCGATAGATGGTTTCATGTTTTTGCTGGGGGAAAGTTTGTGGAATCCACAATATTTGATTCCGGAACAATTGCCCACCTTCAGCATCCCCCAAAAGTGGTCTTTTACCGCTATATTCCCCTCTGCTCACCCTTTTCTTCACCAAGATCATACATACTCTGAATCATCAGAAAATAAGCAAAAATTACAATGGGATTTTCAAGTTTCTGAAAGGCCCCAGTCCCCATTAGCACAGTATTGCTCCCGATCCTTCCTCTGAGGCAATGGGATGCTGACATATTTAAGGCAGTCGAGGTAATGAGAACAAGCCCTCCGCATAACATCCCACACATTCTGTCTGTCTCTGTGTGCACAGCACCAGCTGAAGGATGACTCTTTCCCACCCACCCGCCCCCACTATATCCTGAAATGCAACTTCCTTACAACTACTAGCTTGCTGGGGTCCCAGTCAGCAATGTAAGTGAGGGCCCTGGTTTTTCCCTTCTAAGAGCAATTCATCTGTCATCTACTGGCTAGTTGCCTATTTGGTATTTAACACTGGGGCTTCTGGGCTTCTTTCACAAAAGCCTAAAAACAAACTTCCACCGCCTATCCCCTTTTTTGAAACACACATCACCCACAGGAAACGATGAGCCTCCGAGGATGATGGTCTTTGCAGAAATATGGCAGTGGCCAATTTTGCTCTGTGCTGTTGGCCATGCATCCTGGCTTTCTCTCTGGTGGTGCAGCTAGCGCAGGTGTGGGAAACCTTTGGCCCTCCAGATGTTGCTGAACCACAACTCCCATCAGTCCCAACAAGCCTCATCAGTGGCCAGGAACGATGAGAGTTGTAGTTCAGTAACATCTGGGAGGCCAAAGGTTCACGACACCAGAGCTAGCGTCAAAACCCACCTCCAAGATGACAACCCATAGAGAATGTTGTGAACACTGGCAAACAGGCCTGGCACTAGCACCTGGGCCAGTCTGGGGATGCCAGGTCTCATAGACTGATGCTGGTCTCTGTTTTGGCATAGTGAGGTAGAGAAAGAGAAAGAGAAAAATTAGTTGTGTGCTTCACTATTTAGGGAATATGCACAGCCATCTAAAGGGGTCTGGGTCTAAAAGTACCTGGCTGCATTCACTGTTTCCATTCTACAGGGACAGCAGCTGGTGCTGCAGCAGGAGGAAGTGTCAGATCTTACATTAAGCACTTGCAAGAATAGTTTGCCCTCAAACGCTGGTCCTGAACAGCATTACTTTCCCCTACATGAGGCGGCATGTAAAGTCTAATTCATGGGCAGTAATGATTTTCTTCTTGAATATTGCTATACCTTTTGGTGTCTGCTCCCCTTCTGGGGCAGTGAATCCCATAGGATCGATCTGGTCTTCCTTCACCTCTCCACTCTAGTGGTTGGCCCTTTTTAACAAAAGGGATGGGAACTGTTGGCCCTCCAGATATTATTGGATTCCCAAACAGCACAGCCAGTGGTCAGGGATGAGGAGTACTGGAGTCCAACAATATCAGGAGGATCGCAGGTTCCTAATCCTTGCCAGACTGTTAAACAGTGGAGAGCAGTACCACTTGTCCTGCTTCCCTTCTCTTCCCTTTGATGAGTGTGTATACAGAATAGTATCATGCCATCTTATTGTCTCCTTTTCAGAAGCTACAGGCTCATACTGGTTCTTTTAGTAAGTCTTTACAGCTTCCGTTTCTGAGCACACATCTTCCCCAATCCCTTATACAGCTTCACAATCATCATTTGGTCTCAATATTCAAGGGGGTTTCATATCTCTCACCAACAAAGGCCTGGCTTGGAGGAGGCCTTTCCTCTCACTTCACGATCCCAGTTCTGCTTTATCTGAATTAATGTTCACTGGACATCAGTGGTGGCTGGAACCCATCGGACCTGGTGGGACTGCTAGATGCCTTCTGCAATGTGATGAAAAAAATATGTGAAACGCTGTGATAAAAGCTACCACTTGCATATCTAACGTTAAACACTAATCCTAGAGAGGACTATAATAACTGCAACGGCTTCATGGCTCCACTAACTCAGTTGGTCAATGAGAAGGACCCAGAACACAAAAAGGAGCGAGAACCCCCCTAGTGGACAATGGTGGGATAAGCTGCCACAGAATGTAAATTTGGTGTTATTCTCCCTCCCTCCCCTTGCATAAATTAGTGGCAAATTACCAAGGGAAGTCTGTACTGCACAGGCACTGAAAGTTTTCAGAATATGATATGCTGATAAATTCTGACAATGAGAAGGAATGAGCTGAAATTGATAAATGCTGAGATTTCAGAGAACAGCTCTATATTTTCAGAGGGGTACCTGCGTTAATCTGCTGCTGCAAAAATGAAAAAGCATTGTATCACCTTAAAGACTAAAGGCTTGTCCACACTTTCTCTGGTCCAACTGTTCCCCCTCACCCCCACCTCTGGGGAAACCGCTCTTTAGTGATCAACTGAAACAAATGTCAATTTGGGTTTTCCCTAGACTGCCACTTATTCCAATCTTTCGCCAAAGAGTGAGTTTTCCCTTGGAAAGGGGTGGGGCAAGGGGGAAACCGTTTGGACCTGTGCCTGGAAAGCCTGGGTCAAGCAGAAAACCACTCAGACCCGTGCTTTCTAGGCACAATACAAATGGAAGTGTGGGTGAGCCCTAACACATCCCATCAACTACAGCCAAGCCCTCTAATACAGTGGCACCTCTTCTGATCCATTGGACGGAGATGTACAATTCCAACCATTTATTACATTGCAATATCTACCAAATGAAGTGAAATGGTATCCAGGAATAATGTGCTACAGGAGAACACCATTGGCAGCCACCTTGGTAAAAATCACTGTAAGCTATCATCAAGGATTACCATCAGCCCGATGAAAACCAACATTCTGGGTTAGGACATCATCAGCATGCCACGCATCAGCCTGGGTGACCACATGCTTGAGGTGGTAGGTGATTTTTTATCTCCCTGGGCTTTACCACAACCAGCAACTTCACTATCAATGCTGAGTTGGACAAGCATATTGGGAAGGTAGCTGCGGCAATGGCTCGCCTCTCCAAAAAGGTATGGGAGATTGTGATGCTAACGACCAATACCAAGATGAAAGTCTACCAGGAATGAGTGTTGAGCATGTTGCTTTAAGGAAGTGAGTCGTGGGCAAGTTACACCCGCCAGGGGTGATGCCTCAATGCCTTCCGTATGTACTGCATCAGGAAGATTTTGGACATCGCATGGAAGGACAGAGTCTCAAACAAATATGTGCTCTCTCAAGCCCACATTCCCAGCATGTTTGCACTTCCACGGACATGACCAACCAGCCCTTGTCATTGTGAGTCCTTGTTTGCCTCTGTATGTGGGCACTGTAATCGACACAATCTCTAATGGGATGTTTTGAGTGTGTCTGTTCCTCCACCCTCCATTGTTTTTTAATTGAACATGTTTTCCCTCTCCTCTCCCATGCCTGTATTAGATTTGGTTGCGACTCCACCCCGTTTAAAAGAAGTATGGGCACTTTTAATAAAAGTTCACACCTGCAGTAAGGCCCATTGTGTTGAATGTGACTCACTCCCAGGTAAGTGTGTATGTATGGAATTGCAAACTTAAGCTTACTAGTGAGGAAGCCCCATTAGACACTGTGAGATTTATGTCCAATTAAGTATACACACATTGTAAAGACACAGTCCTGCACCTATAGAAGTAAAAACTCCTGCTGACTCTAACGAAGGAGGTTTGTAGCACCATACACTTTGGGGCTACAATAATATGCACACTTACCTGAGACATACTTCTGAGTTAAAATGTGTAGAATAGTGCTGCTTATTGGCTACAGTCTCGAAAAAACAAAGCTCACCAACTATCAGACCCTTCCTTCCTTCTTTCCTTCCTTCCTTCCTTCCAGCATCTACAGGAGAAGGGTACCCTGTCCCATCACTATTGCACAATCTTTGCATTCTACCATTAGACCAGTGTTTCCCAACCTTTTCCTAATCGTGGTCCCCCATGGGTGTAGCCAAGTGGGGGGGCAGAGGGCAGATGTGCCCACAAATAAGTAAAAATCAATACAAATCTGAGGTTCTTTGCCCCCATTAAAAGCCTGCCCACCCAAACAAAAATCCTGGCTACATCCATGCCCCCCTCCTACTGGTCGAAAGGTATCTATTTAAATGTTTTGTTTATAATTTTTATAATTTATACAAAATACAATTACATAAAATGATAGGAACATAATGAAATATTGTTGAAGCAGAAAAACAGAGACTAACAGAGCTGGAAGGGACCCCAAGGGTCATGTTTCTAGTGCAACCTCCTGCAATGTAGGAAACTCAGTTAAAGCATCCATGACAGATGGCCAGCCAACCTCTGCTCAGAAACCTCCAAGGAAGGAGGGTCCAGAACCTACCAAGGCAGATCCATCTTCCATGTATTATAAAAAATAAACAACACTTATTTGACTCCAGTTATTTGACACAGAGGGGGAAACCTACAGATACAGTCCAAAAGGTATGTAGGAAGTTCTGTATATATGGCATGTTTTAAGAAAAGCAAGTGGTCTTCACTGACCTGGTGCAAAAAGATCTTGTCATGCGGAGGAGCCCTGGCTGCCCAGATTAGACACTATAGTCTCACACACCCTTACCTGGGAGTAAGGCCCATTGAACACAGCGTGGCTTTCTTTTGAGTAGACTCTTAGTTATTTACTAGATGCAAGTCAGCAGCACCAGATGACCCTGCTTGGCTGGGTGCTGGGGTGGATTACACCCTACACGTTGCAGAGTCAGGCCCAGGCTGCTACTGGGCCCAGCACTGGCAGCAGCAACAAGCAGCTCGCCCAGCCCTACCCACTGCCACCCCACCACTGCACTTACCTGACCTGGGGGTTCTGGATCGCGGGCTCTGCTGGTCAAAAAGTGATCAGTGATCATCCTCTCCCACTGGAAATGAACCAGGAATGCTCCAAGGAAACCCAGGTGGCAAAAAGGAGTGCTAGGCCCTGGTGGGCCACCCCCTTACCCACTTGTGATTGGCCAAGCAGATAACCATCCAATCAGAATTTCCCCCCTTCACTTCTCACTTCCCTCAGTGGTCCCCAAGCCTTGTGTTGTGGGCCCCTCATTTATGAGATTTTAATCCGTGGCTCCCTTGAAATATGGGGGAATCAAATAGCCCCCGGTTGGGAAACAATGTGTTAGATAACTATTTGATTAATATGTGACAAAAGTTCAGATCTGGAAAATGCTGGAGAGCTCCCAGGGCAATACATAGCTAGAGGGCGTCTGGACAACATTTTGTATGAGGCAGAAGTGTCACCAAGGGAAGTGGTGCCCTTACAAGCTCAGCCTATAGGTGGGTCACAAATCACAAAGGCCTGGTTTCTCTCCCCACCCACACACCTTAGTATTTGGTTGGGTTGGTTGGGAATAGCTTGCCCAGCATCATACTTACCGGTATGTGAAATCCAGACCCTGAGAGGGCTCCTGTATCTTTAAGAGTTGCAAAGAAGGGGACACTCCGATGCATATGAGCAGCTTCCTGTTATCACTGCAGCACTGTGAAGAGAAAAGGTGCAGTGGATTAAAGTACTTCTTACATTCTTCTTTTAGAATCCTAAAGGAGCCTCTCAGTGCTCAGGCCTGGCAAAACCTAGCAGGTGTTAATGCTACAGTAGGAAGATCCCACCCCCCACCCCCCATCATAGGCCCTAGAGGAACCTGCCATAGAGGGCAGAGCTTTTGTACCTTTAGGATTTATGCAGGGAAGGTAGAAATGCAACTTGCCCCCACTAATATTAAGCCATATATGAGGTGCAGGTTTAAAATTCAACAGAAGCAGCAAGAAATGCAGTAGCCAATTGCAAGTTAACGAAATACTGCTGAACTAAGGAAATGTGAAAAAAAGAACAAATTCAAGGTGAGCAATAAATAATAGCTTACATGAACATAACCCCAAAAAAGCACATTTAGAACCCAGTTTCAGTGGGGGCTTGTATCTCCCATATCATGCATTAAGTGGGACTTTGTTCTTCTGTGTCTGCATGCTGCTTGGAGAACTTCTATTAATGTAGATGGTCTAGAGATGCATTATTATAGTTCTAGCCCTGGAAGCTGAGTAGGTGGAGATGGATGGATGGTTAGGCAGAGGACTGCTAGAGCATTTTCTGCATTTTCCTGAAATAACCAATATATAGATTTTGGGCTACAGGCAGATTTTTGATGGCTTCCCAGGAAGACATCCCTGCCCCATCTAAGGAGCCAGAGAAGGTGAGAGCCATTTCTTTAGCTGTGATTGCAAGGGAGGGTCACAATGCTTGTGTGTCTGTGCACGTGAGGAACAAGGCACAGACAAATTCAGGCTGTTCCAGCCCTGCAAAACAGGGATGACTTGATGGGTAGCAAGGGAAAGGGGGGGGGGCAGGCACTTGGGAAGGAATCAATATACATCAGTGGGGGGAAGCAGAGGTGGGGGCAGGCAAAGAGAAGACAAACCTGCACTCATCCATTGGGAGTTTATTTCACATCCTGCTTTGCCTACCCAGTGTACATTAGTGCAGGAGTTGGTGACATGACCGCCACTGCCACCTTGGGAGACAGAGGGCCTCGCCACCCACCGCCAGCCGCAGGATTAATTATGATAATGTATTTCTTTCCCCTTTTGTCACCCTAATGAATGGGCCCCTTTAAGATTTTAAGGCCTTTTGTTTGTCCAGTTTTTAAGGCGGTATTGTAGGGTAGGGGATAGCAGGTGGCATGGCCAAAACAGGCTCTTTTGTCTTCTTTGGGGGCTTTTCTTTTCCTGTGGTGGATTTGTGCA